GAAATGGTAATCACATGGTGTGCAAATTAGTTAAATTAAAAGAGCACAGTCAGCTATCAGCACCTAAATATTTGATCTTCTCTGAGTTTATTTTGAGAATCTGTAATTAACTTGACACTTTGAAGAATTATACACTTTTTGTTAAAACAATTCAAACATTTTTTTGAATCAATGTTCAACCTTCTTGAAAATAAAAATCTACTCTAACTCTTTTGCCTTTTATTCTAAGATGAAACTTATCATATTTACGAGCAAAGAGAAATTTTATACACTTGACAAAACTTCTGAGTAAATGTATTAACATTAGTAGCAAATAACAGCTATTTATTATAGAAATAAGAGGCATGGTCAAGTATAATATAGTAATAACTCCAGAAGTTTATGAAGCTTTATTTGACTCATTTTGCTTTAATGCTGAAAACATTTTTCTTATTGTGATGGATGGTTACATGCAAGAGGGGAGATGGGATGGGCTTATTTTGTTACCATATAGAGTAATGGATAGCAGCTCAGATTACAGAATTGAAAAGCTGATTTAAAATTCACTTATGCGCTAATACCCTTGACAAATGTATGAATCCATCTCTTCCCTCCATCCATGGGTAAATAGCAGGACAGCTTAGGCCTTATAGCCTAGGTTGGCAACCAGTCTAGAAGGAAAGCTCTGAATTCAAACCCTGGAGAGGGTTGGGTTTCCTCAGGCTGTCTTGCCCATGAAACACCACTGCTGCTATGGCTGCAGTAGATGTGGTATCCCTTAGACCCTCGGGGTTACAGGAATTTTGATTGCAATTATAGAACCATTTACTTTTATCCTTTAGAAAGATTGCTTTTAATTTTATTGCAATGGCTGCATATTTTAAATTTTAAATGAATTTATTTGTATTCATAAATATGAAAGATTTACAAATATACTCCTGGTCAGAGACAGAGTAGAAAGAAAACTATCAGGATATTTACACAAGATCCCTAAACTGGGCTTTGCTACTTCCTAAACAATGATTGTCTCACTATTTATCTCAATGACCAGACACAAATAAAAAAGAAAAAAAATAATTAAATGTTCTCATTACAGGCAATAATAAAGCTTAGCCAAGATGTCATCGTGTTAATATGATGTTCAAAAGGATAAAATGTCAGATTCTGATAAAACAGTTGGCTGATGAGATTTGCTAACAGAAAGTGAGAGTGTGGGTGAAAAGCAGAAAGAAAACAATTTTCATAAAGACAGACAAACTTCCTGACAATCATTTTGGCTTTACAGTTTCATTTTTAAAGCATAAAATCTCAGCCAACAGTCAAATAATTTTTACTTCTTATTCAAAGAACAACTCAAAAGTTGGCTGGGATTAGATGAGCTTCCATGAACATAAAAAAATTAGTTCTTTTGCTCCTGACTGAACTACATTTAACATTACAGTTAATTAAAATTGGAAAAGAAAATATATATATACTGATATTTATTTGTTTAGCGGCATATCAATTCCTCATGGGTCATTTAATGCTGAAATTTAATTTTCTTGGAAGCATTAGTAGTTTCTTTTACAAAAATGTATTGCTAGTAATATATTCTTTTTTACTATGGAAATGTATTCTTGGGAAATTTGTCCCGGCTTTCCCACATGAAAGTGTTGAGGTTAAAAAATTGGTTAAAAATATCGAGTAAGATTAGAGCGGACAAACTCCCTCTTTTAGACAGACGAATAAAGAAAGACTCAAAATTCCTGCTCATTATGTAACAATAAAAGAAGAAAGTGTTTATTTACATGCACAAAAAAAGTGTAAAAGAATAAAAAGACAATTAGGAGAGAAAAAAGGGAGAAGAAAATGTCCTTTAACTTTAAAGGAAGAGAAAATATTTAAAACAGAAAAAAGGCTTCTCAAAATATTTCTCTGCGCACCTAAAAGTTCTTTAAGCAAGTAGAAGGTTGTTAAGAGTTAGAAACACTCACAGTTTTCTTCAAAGTTCTTGTAGAGTAGGAAAATGTTGGTAGATAGGAATTCTGCTGTTGAGTGAGTTCGTAGATTGATGACAAAAGTCTTGTAGGTGAAAGGAGGCAGCTTTCAAACTGGTTTTTGGTAGTGGGCCAACGTTTGTTCTTGACAGCCCCTTAATAGGTAGTTCTTCTTTGGTTGAAACTGGTTCTGAAGTTGACACGTGATCTCTATCACCAACCTCACAGACGGTGGTCAAATTCTCACTGCCAAATAGGTGAAGATTCTCCAAATTTATAGAGATTTGGGAGGCTCAGAAGAATCAGGGACTTTTCCCTCCAAAATTGTTGTACAAATTTCCTGGCCCCTTCATTGGTCAGAAAATATATTCTTATCTCTGATAAGAATCAATGCTTTGGAAGCTGGTATTTGAAAACAAGGAAAAAGGTTGGAATGTGCAAGCTGTGAGGTTTTCCCTCCAGACTTTATGGCACCAGGGGAAGAATAATGGTGGTGGAATTCCTTTTTTATATTTTCCAACTCGCTCATTAGTCAGAAAATATATTCTTATCTCTGATAAGAATCAAAACTTTGGGAGCCGGTTTTGAAAGTAAAAAAAAAGGTTGGAGTGAGGATTGGAAAAATAGACTAGAATGTGAACTTGTAAAACATTGCATTCATGGTTCTCAAATTAAATTCCAATAGTATTGCTGGTATTTTTAGTATAAAAATGTATTTTTATACTTTCATAGTGTTTTGTTTTTTGTTTTTTTGTTTTTTGGTTGGGGGGTCACTATTTGCCCATAGCTGAGATCCTAACAGATGCTACCACCCCAGGTCAGGTTTAAACCTAGAAACAACAGCAATTGAGAGGTGGATCCATGCTCCTCAAAACCTCCCAATCAGAGACCTTGCTGTCGGATGTAGTTTACTGTTATACCCAGGACACATATAGATAATGACAAATATTTTATTGTTATTTGCATAAGATTAAAGTGTAGCTTCTGTTCATTTTTTTTCCAATGAACAAGAAAAATCTATTCATTTGCATCTGTTACTTAAAACTAAAAAATTAAATTTAACTTAATAAAAAACAACTTTTAACCCTAACCTCTAAACTACTCATCCAGTTTTTAGAAAATGTCTTCAAAAGTTTCCATATAAATTTCATGAAAAATGGCTGTTTGGTTTTTAACATTTTATACCATACACAGAAGAAATTTAAATATCTGGAAAGTGTTTTAGCAGATGTGACACTGAAATCAAAAGGCACATTGAAATAACAAAAGATACCTTCCAAAAGCTAAAAAAACAATTAAGAAACAGAAAAAAATTTAATTTGGAACAAAGAAAAGAGTAATAAATTGCTATATAATCACAATCCTCTCATATGGCAGTGAATATTGAAAAATTTCCTCACAGATGAAGAAGAGTGCTGAGGCAACAGAGATGTGGTTTTACAGAAATATGCTAAGAATACCATGGATGGAGCAGATGTGCCATGGGGAAGTTTTAAGGAAAATGGAAACAAAAAGGACATTTATAAGAATCTGAAAGTGAAAGTTAAAATTTCTGAGACACAAAATGAGGAAAGAGCACTTGGCAAATTTGACACTCATAGAAAGTAACCTACCTAATACATTTGTGTAAATGGGTAACAAAACAAAGACTGGGAGAGTGTGGTAATAAAATAAACACAGCCCATCTCCCCTCTTGCTAGTAACCATCTACTATAAACAAATAAACGTTTTCAGTGCTAAATCTGATTTAGTCAAATAAAGTTTCATAAGCTTAGACTTAGAGTTGTTACTATGTTACAGGAGGGCTAGTAAAAAGACAAACATTGTTAAGAGCTACAAATAATAAAAAGTTATAGAGAATGAACCCAGCATGGCACAGATAAGTTAATAAATTGAGCAAAAGAGGATGGCTAACATTTTTAGAATCTGGAAAATGCTGAATAAGCAAAATTCATTTATCATAAGCATGATTTTAAAATGAGGACAAGTGGACATCTTGAACTTGAGATAAAAAAAAAGAATTTTTGACAATAAACAGTGACAACCTACTTTGCCCAACAATGATCAATGGACAGAAAGGAGACAAGTCCCTTAAGATTGGCTGCAAATAACACAAAATGATTCAAAAAATAATGTAACCTCCAATACATTAAATCCATCACAATAAACTATTGCAACAAATTATGCAACACTTATTTCTATTACTCTGTTACTTAGAGTGATTATTTCACTACTTATACAAATGTAAAACATCTTAGTTGGCAATTATATAAGTGAAAAATGGCTATAAAAAAGGACTGTTGATTATTTATAGTTAATTTTTTTAAATAATGTGCTGACTATTGTTTGTGTCCAGTGGCAATAATTTTAAGTAAAATGCTGCACTAAAATAAGTAACCAAGTAATCGTTTTAAGTTTTCTGAATATCAGTACCATAAACTGCTTAGTATTAAAAAAATTTTGCTTTCTTTTCTTAAATAATTGATACATGAATTGCATCAATAAATTTATAAAACTGTTTTCTGTGACAAATTTAAGAAAAAAAGGACTCAGACAACTACAATAATTTACCTGTAACAAAATATTATTACTCAAAAAACAAAAAAATAATAAAAAACAACACTCCAAAGATGAAAATGTAGTTTGGAAACTGGGCATTTAAAATTTGGGATAAATAAACATGGTATCAAATATACAAAATTGTTGGCAATAAAAGATAGATAGATAGATAGATAGATAGATAGATAGATAGATAGATAGTAACATGTAAAAATTAATTTTTGAAAAATGAAGAAATAAGTGAAATTAAGAATGAAAATTAAATGAAAATTCAAATTCAAATATTTTTTTTAATAAATTAAACAAAAAGAATCTATATGACAAATAAAACAAAAAGAAAGTTAAATAACTTTAGTTGATGGAGATTCACAGTCTACTTATCTATACTAAAAGCATTTTTTTCATATTGTCTTTTTGAGAAAAGATTTCTGTTTGATGTGCCACCTTCCCAAGGGATTCTGTTCACCTTCTCTACCCCATACTTACATAGTGGCTAGCTCCTGCAAAATGTGCAAGTCTCCATCAGGTTCCTTGCGCCATAAATATCCAGGTAACATGTTGCTTTAGTCTTTGTGGTGAAGACATGGAGATGTTGTAGGCAGTCCGCTAAATAAAGCAAGTCTAGTTGAAGATAAAGATGAAGTTCAAGAGAGGGAGGGAGGGAGAGAGGGAGGAGCTTTAAAGTTGATATGAGAGGGTGGATCAATAAAAAGAGACGAGTGAAAAAGAGAGATAGAGAAAAATTTGTATGAAAGGATAAGTAATATGAGAAGAAGGGAAAATGATGAAGAAAATTGAAAGTTGAAGAAGAAAAGGAATGAAAAAGAACAGAAAAAAAAGAAAGGGGAAAATTTCAAAAGAAACTGAATAAACTGAAAGAATTTAAAAAATAACAAAGAAAAGAAACCATTACAAAATGGTAAGAGGAAATAAGAAAAAAAGAAATAATTTTATTATCAATCTATGTACATAGAACTTAAATGCAAGTAGATAAATAGTTATTAACACACTGATAGATAGATAGATAGATAGATAGATAGATAGATAGATAGATAGATAGATAGATAGATAGATATGAGCAGAATAAGAGAGCTAGATATGAATATACTAATAGATAGATATTAACAAAATGAGATAGATAGATATAAATACACAAATAGATAGATAGATATGAACAGAATGAGATAGATAGATAGATAAATAGATAGATAGATAGATAGATAGATAGATAGATAGATAGATAGATAGACAAAAAAGGTCAGAATGTAAAAGACAAGAAAAAAACTGCTAATGAGTTTTAAAAAGAAAGAAAAGAAAACAGCAACATCTTTGCTTATTATAAATTACATTTTCTCAAGAAGGTAAGAATTTCTTTGCACTTATTATTAATCAAAAATAATTATTATTTAATGTCAAGTTTTTCCAAAATGTTGGGGTTTCAATGAAAAATGTTTTGACAAGAGGCAACTCTGTCTTAAAATCAAAAATGAACTAAAAATGTCTAGTTATTGTTTCATTTTTGATTTAATTGATTAGAAGGAAGGGATATAATTTTCAAAAATAAAAATAAGTAGAGGTGATAGGAATAAAATTAGAACAAGAGCAGAGAAAAAGAAGAAGAAGAAGAAGGTAGGAAAAATGAAGGTGGGAGAACAAGCCAATATAATATTTATTCTGTTGAAAATAGTGGTAACAGGAAATTAATACTTCCAAATGATCATCCTCCACCCCACCCTGCATGAATTCTGTAAATATTAGAGTTAGACAATCCCCCCAGGTGATAAAGATATAAAGATAAAAATATTTGTCTCCTTTTTTGTTATTTTTTTTTGTTTTGCTTCTCTGATTGTGGTAATTTTTTGCCACCAATCACTAATCATAGCAAAATGAGAAGAACCTTTCAGATTTCAATCCTATGCTTTAACCACTAAGCTATAGCCACTTGTACAAACCAAGTGGGAGTATTCATGATAAGAACAGGGAGAGAGAAGATTTTTTTCCAGTAAGCGGAAATGAAGAAATAGTAGGAAGGTAAAATTATGCTATTGCAGTCTTGTTGATTAGCTAAAATAACGCAGGTGCACACGCATACCCTGAATGATCTGGTGAAAGAAAGCTAGCTATACCATATATGATGTATACTTACACAACCTACCTTCCCCAGCTCCCCCCAACCAACAAGCTCATTGGTTGCTAAGGACTCCATTATATGTTTGTCATTATTACTTGTTCTTTTCAGAAAAGGAAAACACTAGTGTAGCCACTAAAGCTGGTAGATGAAGTTAAGAAGGTGGGTAAGGGTCAATGTAAAGTCATGATTAACAAAGAGAAAGATAATTTAATGGTCTTACCAGTACAGAATTAGTTAAATATCTCCCCAGCTGTTACACACTCTCTTTCTTGTTCTTTCGTCTTGTGAAAAGATTTAACAAAACTAAGAGTTAAAACCTCTAAAATAATTTATCATGCCAATCAATAATTATTATCACTCTTGTGTGTTTTCATGCCTAACTCATGTGCTTAGAAGACAGCCTTGTCCTACCTACCATGACATTTGAAAAATTTATCTATTAATTTGTTTGCTAATTAAGAACAAAGTTGGACTACACTATTTACATTATTCGGACTATTGTCCTCATCTTTGTCGCCATATTTATTACAACGTTTCAGCCTTTCAGTATCTGTCTATATTCCTGAGATGAGGTATTATGTACACTATTTACATTATTCGGACTATTATCCTCATCTTTGTCGCCATATTTATTACAACATTTCGGCCTTTCAGTATCTGTCTATATTTCTGAGATGAGGTATTATGTACACTATTTACATTATTCAGACTATTGTCCTCATCTTTGTCGCCATATTTATTACAATGTTTCGGCCTTTTAGTATCTGCCTATATTTCTGAGATGAGGTATTATGTACACTATTTACATTATTCAGACTATTGTCCTCATCTTTGTCGCCATATTTATTACAATGTTTCGGCCTTTCAGTATCTGCCTATATTTCTGAGATGAGGTATTATGTACACTATTTACATTATTCGGATTATTGTCCTCATCTTTTGGACTATTATTATTCAGTTGATATTTAAAGGGCCATAACCAAAGAGAATGATTTGTCCATTATTTTCTCTTTCTCTTTTTCTATTTATTACAAAAGACTGGTGCTTTTGAAAAGTATAAAAAGGGAAATAAAATATTCAATATTTTATTTCCAAACTTACATTATTATGCATCAATTAACATTCTACTGAATAACCAGGAAAAAAAATAAAATATCCATTCCTCATAACAGAAAAGTCACTGAAGGAAGTTGCTTTCGTATGTCACCAATAACAGGAACAGATGTTCATAGAAATAAAGCTGAGGAAAAATACATTAATTTGCTGGAAATATGATTTCCAAGTGTTCAAGTTGGAAGTTTTAATAATATTAAATAAATTTACCAATATGTGTCGAAAATTGATTAAACATTAAATGAATAAAAAATATAACTCTAAGTCTTGAAAATCATATCTTATACAAACCAATGAATATCAACTTTTATTGATACCTATGTAATTAACATCTTACAGTCAGTTTTTTAATAGATATTTAATTTTCTTTTTTAAATATACAGAAGCAGTTGCTTAAAATAACACCAAAATCCAAAGTCACATGGGAATAGCAAAAGATGCCTTCCAAAAGATAAACAAAACATTAAGAAACAAGAAAATTTCATTAGATAATAATCTAATGAAGAGATAAAGATTTCATTAGATAGTAATGAAATGCTTTGTAATATCAGTCCTCCTATATGGCAGTGAATGTTGGACAAGCCACTTACACATGAAGAAGAAACTTGAAACTACAGTGACATGGTTCTTTCAAAAAATATACAGAATACCATATATGGAGCATGAAAGGTTTTAAGGAAAATGGAAACAAAAAGTAAGATAATATCAGAAAGATAGAGAAGTAAGATTTGACTGGAACAATTTCAGATTTTACATTGCAGAATCTCCCTCAACTTGAAAAACAGAGCTTCCAAAACAGCCTCCCTCATTTCTGAATTCTGTAACCCTCTATCTTGGGTGGTTCTTGGGATTTGTACTAAATGAATGTAAATGTAAAAAAAAAAAGCAATTTCTAGAAGTATGGGGAAAAAAATTTAAATAATAATAATCATGGTTGTACTAATTTTTTTTTTTTTTTAAGCAAATCACCCCAATCAAGGCGAAAGTACCACTAACACACAAGGGGTTACAGACAGTGAGAGTAAGAGTAAAAGGGAGTGTTTGGGAAAAGGATAAAGAGAAGAACACAGATCAAGGTCAAAGCATCAGAAGAGATCGATTGACATTATATTTGAATATTTGAAGATTATAGCTATCAGGGAAGCAAATAAGAGGAAGGGAGTTTCGATGATGGGAGGTGTGAGATAAGAAGCTGTTTGAGTAGAAGAGACGGCTACATTTAACTGTTTCAACAGTGAAAGGGTGGGATCAAATGCCAACCTAGTAGCATGATTAAATTCATGCAGTTTGGGAACCAGTGAAAGTAGCTTGTCAGAGCAGTTGCCATGAAAATACTTGTAGAAAAGACAGAGGGAAGCCGCAGCACATCTGTGAGAAAGTGACTGTAGATAGGATGCCAGATCAGGACCAATCATGTTGCATATCCATCTCTGGATTTTATCAAGGACCTCAAAATAAATAGTGGGAGCACCAGACCATATATGGCAGCAGTATTCCATGCGAGGACAAATGGTTGATTTGTAGATTTTAAGGATGGCCTCAGGCGAGAAAAACCTTCTGGTGCAACACAGAGAACCAACTTTCCTTGCGGTAGATGAAGCTATAGATTCAATGTAGTTGTTCAACTTCAGGTCAGGGAACAGCGTGAAACCAAACAGGTGCAGAGAGGCACTCTCTTCGAGTTGGGCATCAGCCATCCTGATGGGACGCATGTGACCCAGTCAAAATAAACAAAATGAAGAAGCAGTTTTATATCTGAAATTTGTTTTATCAAGTTTTTCACTCCATACATCCATTAGATCGGTCAGGTTCATGCAGCCATTGTGAACTCCCCATTAATTCATTAGCTGTATAGTATGTGCTTTGACAAGGCTTCATATGCTTTTAATTCTGAGTTTCCCTTCTCTTAGACAAGTTGCTCACCAATGCTGAAAAGCCAAGTCTATCTTACTATTTAACCCATAGCTGGGGGAAGAAATGAATTCATATCTTTCCCAAGGGTATTTGTGTACAAGTGAAAGTAATGAAACTTGATTGTAATTTGAACTTGACTTGCTGATTTCTCATTCCAAGTTGTCCTTCATTACACCACCTCCCCACATATCAGCATAGAAAGAAACCATTTGTTAAAATAAATGCTGGAAACTTTTCTGCGCATATGATGTAAATGCATGATTTTACTGGATATGTGAGAAATGTAACAGATATTGGCTCTGAAAGGGGAATTGGAGAACAAAGATCAAATTCTGTTGATTTCACATTCCTATGACTGATCTCAGGAAAGGAATAAATCTGCCTCTTCTCCTCCCAGCT